AAATCTCTGCTGCTCTGGAAGACTTTCCAAGGAAGGGCTGTAAGCATTTTAAGCTCCTGGGTAAGAAATTTGCATGATAGAGATTGAAATAATTTTCTGTGTTTGTCTTTGATTCATCCAAAACGTCTCTAGGACCTTCCACACATATATTATTGAGGGGACGGCAGTTGAGCTCCTCCATCCCACCTGGAAAGATGGATTTGGCAGCAGGAATTCCCCAGCAGCCCCAGCTTGGCAGTGGGTCGGGCCAGGGTGGGGAGAGCCCAGGGGTGAAATCCAGCAGGTTCTGACAGGTTCTGGAGAACCAGTAGCGGAAATTTTGAGCAGTTCGGAAAACCGGTAGTGGAAAATTTGAGTAGTTCGGAGAACCAGCAAATACCACCTCTGGCTGGCCCCAGAGTGGGGTGGGAATGGAGATTTTGCAATATCCTTCCCCCAGGAGTGGAGAGAGAATGGGGATTTTGCAGTATCCTTCCCCTGCCACGCCCACCAAGCCACACCCACAGAACTGGTAGTAAAAAAAATTGGATTTCACCATGGGAGAGCCCATGAGTTTCTGCAGGGTGAGAGGGAATTCTGGGAGTTGAAGTTCACACAGAGTTTGAGACACTCTAATCTTAGAGCTTCCTGTGGAGAGACTTCATTGTATAAAGAGTTGGACAGCCCAGATGGCTATCTTCCCAAACTGGCCGAGGGGCATTTCTAGATTTCCATGTGCTGACAAAAGGCAAGATCAGCACCAGAAGAGGAGAATTTCCTGAGCATCTTCTATAGAAATGGAAGAAAATATTTGAGATCCAGAGTAAATCTGATGTATTGCAGGCGCCTGGGATAATCAGCAGTGGGAGTGGAATGGAATGGAAAAGGGGGGCTCCAACCCTAGGACCCTCAAAGCAGCAGGAAACCCCCCACCTGGTTATCCCAACTTTTCACTCACATGAAAAATCCATTCTCGCCTCACTGAGGGTCAGCATGGATTGCTGTTCAGTGCAGATTTTAGGGGAGATTTTATGAAATGGGGAGGGGGGAAAGGGAGGGGAAGGCGATATATCCAGGTGAGACCAGAGACCGTGGGAGCCTCTGGGAGAATCCAAATTGCTTCCTGGGGAGATATGGGAAGCAAAGGGGAAAGTGAAGGGAGCAACAGTGAAGCCACACAGCCCCCCTGGATCTTCCTGCTCTGCCTTCCGATGGGAAATTCCTTTTCTAGTTCTCCAAAAACACCTGAGGGCAGGATGAGAAGAAACAGATGAAAACTAATCAAGGGGAGAAGCAAGCTAGAAATAAGGAGAAATTTCCCGACAGTTAGAACAATTAATTAGTGGAACAATTTGCCTCCAGAAGTTGTGAATGCTCCAACTGTCAGAGTTCCAAGAAACAGATCCAACGCAATCAAACCTCTGAGGCCTAGGTGTTCCTCAAAGTACAGATTTATTAGGCGTCATATTGGCACATCTGGTGAAAACACGACTGAAGGTTCCGGGTTTTCCCCACATATTATAATATAATATATTATATTATATTATATTATATTATATTATATTATATTATATTATTATATTATATTATATTATATTATATTATATTATATTTTATAAACTGGAGAACAAGCAGAAATATATATATATATATATAATATATATATATATAATATATATATATATATATATATCACACATAGCCCTTTCTAAGTTGGCATCTGCAGAATTTGTTATTTTATTTTTGCTTTCACTAGTTGGTATGGTTATTTTAACATTTGACGTAATCTTTCTGATAGTTTTGCAATAATGTTAATAAAAAAACTTCTTCTTGAAGTGATTTTCAAAAAGTTTTACCGTAACTGGCAGTTCTCGAAAAATAACTTTTATTTTCATCCCCTGCTGATGAAATGAGCCGGCAGTTGTTTGAAAAGACTATCACAATTCTGTTTCCTCATACATTACATAAGATATCAGAAGGATTATTTTCTAAGTAATTATTTGGATTCATTTTCTACCAGCTAAAATGAACTGTTTAAAAGATTATTTAGCCTCAGCCTAAGAATTGCAGCTGATTGGTTGATAATGAAAGGCAATAAACCCTAATCACTTATTGTTAATTTTCTTTTAATATGGTTGAGAATAATCAAAAGTATTTTTGCAAGGAGATGGCAAACACTCCCAACATGTGGCCAAAATATCATTGGTCAAAAACTTCCTGGGTTGTGAAATATGTGGCTGAATAGAACTATATGTTCAAAATACTGGGAATTGTCCAGAATGTTAGAATTCTGCTCACATTCAACACACACACACACACACACACACACACACACACACACACACACCATGGACTTTTTTGATCAATCTGGGGAGATGGTTCTCTACAGATGGGAACAGTTCTCTTTCTCCCAGCTTTTTTCTATATTTTGAGAGACGCTTGTATGATTCTGTCAATAGTCTGGTTTTATTAGACTGGATGTGTGTTTCTATTCAATATACTATAAAATGATTAAGTGGTTGTTTAGATGAAACATATAGGTCAGATATTTGATCTGATAGTTGATGGGATTGGAAAGAGTTGCAATTTCTGTATATTATTGCTCTATATTACTTAACTCTATATTTTAATGAAAATTTAGTTATTAAGAACAGCAAAGCACTGATGCAGAGCAGCAGAGAATATTGTCCCATGACATGGTTAAAAAAGACTTAAATATTAATACTACTATTTTCTGTGGCATATTATCCTTTGCCTCTGACACCCAATACCTTTCTCCAATACCTTTCTCCCCACTTGGATGAATAGAGATGATTGGGTAATTAGTAGTGATATTAAGTTTATGCATTGTGTAACTATGCTGCTATATCAGTACAAAAGCAAAACCGGAAATCTAACTGGATCCCTTGTTCTATTACTTCCCATTTGAGCCAATAAACTGAATAAACTGTTGTCCACAAATAATTCCAATGTGTATTTTTAGATCAAGTAGAATTGTGTTGTAATTAGCTCAATTCATTAATGAATAATGGGCATTTTTAGCAATTCTTACACATCCCGGCTTGCATGTTATTTGACTGGTAGAAGTCTCTATAAGGATCCCAGCATATAATAAATATAATATTACCAAACATCCTCTATTTTTTTCTAAAAGTCTTATACTACTTGGACTGAATTTAAAATATTTAAAAATGATTTTGCTATTGCACTTGGAAGAGGAATTTGCAATTATAATTTATAATACTTTACAAGCCAGAATAATGGCACAGTCTGTATTCCTTGAAACATAAATTTCAATCCTATCAAAAAATACATAAAAATTAATTATAGAAAATGTGAGTTTCAAAAATATGTGTATGGTTTTTTGATGTGTTTTTCCAATAATTTGCTTTATCTTTTATGACTGACAATATTTGCAAATTCAAAATCTTGTTACAAGAATATGAAGACAGGAGATGTGCAAAGCCCAAACAACTTACTTCAAAGTAAATTAGCTTATCTCAGCCGAAATTGATCTGGGACAGTCCATCCTGAGTGAAGTGACAATTAGGGGAACCCCTAACTATTGTGTGGTCCGTCAATAATTGTAACAATAGGAAGACAACTGTGTCTTGTACAGTGGTGTGTGCATGTTTTATTTTAAAGTAAAGAGATTTCCACCATTCCAAATTCCAGATGACATTTGATCCCCAGCTCATCTCTATTCATTCTGCTTTGCTTCACTGCCTTAAAGTACAGGGAAAAGTTAAAATGTAGTAAATATTCGCCGTAATGCTAAAAATTACAGAGAAGCCCATCTTGGCATATAATAAATCTGTTTACACTCTGTGAAAGCCAACAGAGCAGTCATTCTGAGAGATGGATTGGAAGGCCTGCCAGAAAATCTAACCATTTCTTCACTCCAGGCCTCTGGTAACCTGTATCCCCAAATCGGTTGTATTTTAGGCTTATCTGGATTGAATTTCAATTTCATTCAATCCAGTACTCTAAGAAAGGAAACATCAAGGCATGGAAGGAATGCAGGAGCGGTTTTAAAAATAAAATATGTTCAAGTACATGCTACTGCCATTGGCAATCATAGGAGCACTTCAAATCTTACCCATTCTAGCCTGAAAAATATAGTGAATATAGTAAAGCAACAGAGCACTGTCTGCTTGTCCAGAAGTTGCTATTGAGTTGAACTTTTAGGATGAGCTAAAGTTTCACCTGTTGCCCAAAGGAACGGGGATTAAAAAAAACTGTAGTGGTTTCTTGATGTCTTCCTTTAAGACTGCCATGGAAACGTTGACATGCTGCATTTCAATCACCCATTTTCAGCAATACAGGTAGTCCTTCACTTATAACGAGTCACTTTAGTGACCGTTTGTAGTTATGATCAGCCTTCCCAGGGCTACTTTCAACCCACCCACCCCCCGCAATAATGTCATTTCCTTTTGGACTCAAAGCAACCAGCCTGCATTTATGGCCATTTTTTTTTTAATTTGATTTATATGCCGCCCTTCTCCGGAGACTCAGGGCGGCTTACAATGCGTTAAGCAATAGCCTTCATTCTTTTGTATATTTTATACAAAGTCAGCTTATTGCCCCACAAACTGGGTCCTCATTTTACCTACCTTATTGTTTATTTATAAAAGATGTAATGGAAATTGTGAATTGAGCTTGTGAAAGGAATGTAAGCGTGGTAACCATCTATGACCGGATTGAGATTTTTGCTCTTGAAAGTTATGTTTTTATGTTTAAATTTGAAAAAATAAATAAAAAATATTTACCAAAAAAAAGAGAGCATTTTTTCTACAAATCCTTTCTTTAAAAAAAAGCCTCTGATGATCGTGCGGCTCAGCTGGGTTCATCAGAGCCTTTTAAAAGCACTTTTTCTACAACTTCTTCAGCCGAAGAGGTTGTAAATAAAATGCTTTTAAAAGGCTCTGACAATCCCAGCTGAGTTGCCTGATCATCAGAGACTTTTGTTTTCTTTTTGTTTGCTTTTAAAAGAAAACAAAAGTCTCTGACGAGACCCCCAAGTCACGCCCACAGAACTGGTAGTAACAAATTTTACATTTCACCACTGGGTTGGACTAGAAGACCTCCAAGGTCCCTTCTAGCTTTATTCTGAATGAAAGGTGCTGGAAGAGGAGGAGGATTCCTTCCAGGTCTACCAGGGAGCCAAAAAACGCTAAATGTGCACAGGAAATCCATTCACAAAGGAGGGAAAATCCAGCCTGGATCCAGAAGCTCACCTGTCTTCAGCAGCGTCTCCTTCCCATAGGATAGATACTTCTCCAGCCACCCAATGCATTCCTCCTCTAGATAGGACTTCACTCTCTGACTGAATCCAGGAAGAGCGTCCCATTTCCTCTGGGTGATTTGGGCTTGGGGATTGGGAGCCACCCAGGTGACGGTCTCCTTGTCGAAGGTGATGAAAGTCCTCCCGTCGTATCCAAAGTGATATAACCCTCCTTTGCTCCCATCTCCCCGGCGCTCACAGCCATACATCTGCTGAATCATGTGAAGGCCTGAAAGACGGACAGGATGATGGTTTTGTGGAGTTCTCAGGAGAGGCAGCAATCCGCTCCGTCCCCGCTCTGCAGGACTTTGACACCGGATAGAGGTACTGACACCTTTCCTCCCCTCGTATCTTCCTGGGTCTCTGTGTCTTCCCCAGGAAGGACTGCCTGAACCTCGCCAGGAAAAGGGCAGCTGGCAAGTCCTCCTTTGGCTTCCCTGGATAAGAAAAAGCAGCAGGGATCTCAGGAGAGAAAAGATGGCGGCACAGCAGAAGTGAAATGCTACCGGTTTGGACCGGTTCGGGCAAACCGGTAGTAAAAAATGCTACCATTTTTAGCATGCGCTGGCTGAGGAATTATGGGAGTTGAAGTCCACAAGTATTAAAGTTGTCAAGGTTGGAGAACTCAAACCCTTAGTTTAAATAGTAAAATCACCTTTTCAAAAAAGTTAGAAAAAAGCTTTTCTCCTAGGAGGGGCTCCTTTTCTTCCACCCCTCCCACCTGCTCCTAGCGGGAGGGGGGGAGATGGGGGAAGGGGAGCCACCCAACCCCTCACTCACCTTTGCTCTGATTGTGGCGATTCCTCAGGGTCTCCAGAGCTGCTCTGTAGACCTCCTCGGTCACCTGCCCTATCTGGCTCTGAGTGTCCCAATAGTCCTTCTCCATTTTCTCCATCCAGGAGGCTCGAGGCTGGAACTTCCTGCTTTTGCTGTCGTAGACGACAAACACCTGACTGTCCACGTAGCCCAGAACGCCAAAGTGGGGCAGCCCTTGACTGAGGTCTGAGACGGAGATGTAGAAATACTTGAGGGAGTGCAAGGAGGAGCCTGAAAGAGACCCAAAGGGGCAGAATTAGGAGGCTTCAGCTGCGGGACCCAGAACTTGTGAGGCAGGGGTCACCAACCCTTCGGACCTCAGGGACCATTAAATTCATACTTTTAAATCCCGCGGACCACTAATATGATCTGCCTAATGACTGGCTGGGTGGGCGTGGCTAGGTGGCCATGTGGCTGGGTGGGTGTGGCCAACTCAATGTCACTCACATCGAGGAGCGCCTTCGATGGCCTCTACTCGTCCCCACCCTCCCCAGCCACTCCTCGCCTGCCCATCCGGATTCCTTAGGGCCCCAACACAAGCTCAACAGACTAAAAGCCTGTTATTAAAATTCAGCTGTCTGCAATTATTGCAAGTTCAAATCTCCCCAGGCTCAAGGTTGACTCAGCCTTCCATCCTTTCTAAGGTAGGTAAAATGAGGACCCAGTTTGTGGGGGCAATAAGCTAACTTTGTATAAAAATATACAAAAGTATGAAGGCTATTGCTTAACGCACTGTAAGCCGCCCTGAGTCTCCAGAGAAGGGCGGCATATAAATCTAATTAAAAAACAAAACAAAACAGGAAGCAGTTGTTGGAGCTAAGCAGCCACCATGAGAAAGAGTTGGCAAAACAGCTCAGTTCAAATTGGATCTGCCCAAGAAGTTCGCGATATTTCATGATATTTTCCAGTTCTTTTTCTTCGACTCTGGCATCTCCTGGTGTCAATAAATTGTATGTTTCGGTTTTTGACAACTATGATCTCTGGCGTGTTGTGTTTATTATTATTACTACTACTACTACTACTACTATTATTATTATTACTATTATTATTATTACTGTTGTGGATTTAATAAGACAAACACAACTTTTGGATTAATCAGAGACAATTTATATATTGTGCAATAGGTTCAAGGCTCTGTACATGAAGTGTTGAACAAAGACAGAAATTAGGTACAATGGTTTTATACCCTTCTAGACAAAGGATTCTGTTAACTCAGCAATTCATATGGTCATATACATTTGTCATTTTTAATTGACATTTCCTAATTACTGAGTTTCTTTGCAAAACAGTTATTTCTTTTTGTAGATTACTGAAGCATAGACTCAAATCATCTTCTGACGATAGACAACTTTTAACTCATGTGGATCCCCTTGACCTAACCAACCTTTAAGCTGTATGTCATTAGAATGTTCCTTTCTTCTGACAACTTAGAGGCCGCCTAGAGGAACCAAAAGGATTTTGGCTGACTTTGTACTTTTTCCAACCGGAAGCATTGCTTTTTAGAATAGAGTGAATAGAAAGTTATCCAGTGGTCATCTATCAGAGCCCGCTTCATTTACATTACTACTATTACTATTACTATTATTATTATTGTTGTTTGTTGTTGTTGTTGTTGTTGTTGTTGTTGTTGTTGTTGTTATTATTATTATTATTATTATTATTATTATTATTATTATTATTATTATTATTTCCAGTGTCTTTCTCCCAGCTTGGAACTGAACCAGATGGATTTTCCTTCCAACAGTAGAAACTTTTTATAAGGATGAATCCATGAATCGTATCCATGGAGTGGCCTAGATCGTAGTTTCTTAAACTGGGTTTGCACGGAAAAAAAGGCAGCAGCTGCACAGCCCAGAGAAATGCAGGCCAAAGTCCAAAAGGCCCGGCCCTTCCCAGGCTGAGGACTGGGAGTCCTTCTCCCTGCTCCTCCCCACCCTTGCAGCAGCAGCTTCTCAGAGAGCCCCAGATCCACTTCCAGCTCTGTGCAGATTTCAGAATCCAAAAGGATCAGCGTCAGTCTGAAACCTGCCCGAGGTTGATTGCAACGCGGGTTGGAAAATCCCAAGATCCCTGCCTGACTACTGTATTGTGGGATGCTAATAATAATAATAATAATTTTGAATTCTGCAAAAGTGCACCACGTTTTTTTTCTTTTTTTTGGGGGGGGGGGAGGGATTCTGAAACAGCAGGAGGAGGATCTGGGGAGGCAAATTTATAAACGGGGGGGGGGGGGAAGATCCCGGAAGGGGACTCACTGAAGCAGCAGATCTCCCATAGGACCAACACCAGAAGCAAGAGGGGCGCAGAGCGCAGAGCCATCCCGTCTGCAAAACGCAACTTGCGCCCACCGACCCCCATTCCTGAAATCCAATGGAGGAGGGGCTGCAAATGAGCGAGCGGTGATTGGCCGAGCTCTTTAAATCGTCATTGTTGCTAGGCGGACGTTCCAGGACCACCCACGGAGGGGTGGGAGGGATAAAATTTTGGGGGAGGGGCAAAGTGGGAGGGTTATCTGGGACTAGGGGAGGGGCGTAAGTGAGGGGGTGGGGACTCTAACACCACCACCACCGCCCCGCAAATCCTCTGGCAACTGGTGGAGGTCAGAAATCCCAAATGTTCTTTGGCTTTAGATCAGAGGTCTTCAAAACTTGGCAGCTTTAAGGCTTGTGGACTTCAACTCCCAGAAGTCTCCAGCCAGCTATGCCTAAAAATGGTAGCATTTTTTACTACCGGTTTGTCCAGATTGGTCTGCTGTGCCGCCATCTTTTCTCTCCTGAGATCCCTGGCTAGAGAATTCTGGGAGTTGAAGTCCACAAGTCTTAAAGCTGCCAAGTTTTGGGGACCCCTGCTTTAGATGAAAACCCTCAAAGTCTCTTGGGGCGTCTTTCCAGTGGTGAAATCCAATTTTTTTTTTTTACTACCGGTTGTGTGGGCGTGGTGTGGCTTGGTGGGCGTGGCAGGGGAATGCAAAATCCCCATTTCCACCCCACTCCAGGGGAAGGATACTCAAAATCTCCATTCCCACCCCACTCCAGGGGAAGGATACTGCAAAATCTCCATTCCCTCCCCACTCCAGGGGAAGGATACTGCAAAATCCCCATTCCCACCCCACTCCAGGGGAAGGATACTGCAAAATCTCCATTCCCACCCCACTCCAGGGGAAGGATACTGCAAAATCTCCATTCCCTCCCCACTCCAGGGGAAGGATACTGCAAAATCTCCATTCCCACCCCACTCCAGGGGAAGGATACTGCAAAATCTCCATTCCCTCCCCACTCCAGGGGAAGGATACTGCAAAATCTCCATTCCCTCCCCACTCCAGGGGAAGGATACTGCAAAATCTCCATTCCCTCCCCACTCCAGGGGAAGGATACTGCAAAATCTCCATTCCCTCCCCACTCCAGGAGAAGGATACTGCAAAATCTCCATTCCCTCCCCACTCCAGGGGGAAGGATACTGCAAAATCCCCATTCCCACCCCACTCCAGGGGAAGTGGGTTGACGACAAACTGTCCTATTCCAGGCCAAGCAGACGCAAGCAGGCAGAGAGGCAGTTCGCTCACGTTACTCAATGAGCTGCTCAAGTAAGTAAATGACACACGCAGTTGGAGCAGGAAGTCAAGTTCTCCACACCTCCCAAAGTTCAGCAAGATTGTCTTGCAAGAGTCCCAAATCAAAACTGGAGCTTTAGAATAGAATAGAATTTTTTTTTAAATTGGCCAAGTGTGATTGGACACACAAGGAATTTGTCTTGGTGCAGATGCCCTCAGTGTACATAAAAGAAAAGATACGTTCATCAAGAATCATAAGGTACAACCCTTAATGATAGTCATAGGGTACAAATAAGCAATCAGGAAACAATATCAATATAAATTGTAAGGATCCAAGCAACAAAGTTACAGTCATACAGTCATAAGTGGAAGGAGATGGCTGGTGGGAACGATGAGAATATTAATAGTAGTGCAGACTTAGCAAATAATTTGGCAGTGTTTTTTTTTTCTTTTTTTTTAAAAAATATTTTATTAGCTTTAAAAGTAAAACAATGGACATTGCTCAACGTCTCTGGTTTCTAACATTTGCATCAAATTCAAAAGTAATATATTTCTTAATCTATATACAAATTTACATATCTCCTATTTCATTATATATCAAGTATACAGTATTTTACTTCCTAAACAGCTATACATATATTTAGTAAATCAGGGTAATTGTCGCTTCTTTCCATGAGGTTGGAATTTTTGCCTCGTTTAAAACATCATTATAGACTTCTAACAAAATAGGGCTTAATAGAGTTTGACAGTGTTGAGGGAATTATTTTACAGCTCTGTTTTATTATGTACAGGTGATCCTTGACTTATAATGGTGTTGTGGCCCTGCCCTCTGAGCCTATCCCATCGGAGGAAGAAAGCTCCGAGCATGAGGAAGAGGAGTCAGCCAGGCCTCCCTCTCCAGGCCCCTCCCCTCTGGCACTGTCTCAGGTGCCGGCCGAGGGAGAGGAGATTAGCAGGGAGACAGGTGTCTCGGATGAGAGTGAAGGAGAGACATCATTCCTGGACGCATGCCTCCGAAGGCGTGATAAACGATTGCAGCAGCTCAGGAGGCGTGCTAGGGATTAGAACTGAGTCACTGGACCACACCCCAGAGACTATATAATAGAGGGTGGTGGCCAGTGATCCCTGTGACGAACAAAAATAAACCTTGGATAGTCACTAAAGCCTCGTCCGAAACTGCTGAGAGGAATATTTATTTCTGTTGGACTCTTGTAGGCTGAGTATATTATCTTTCTGTTGTCTTTGGAAATAAAAGCACTTGGCAGACGGTGTGTATATCGCTGCCAAGTTGGAGATAAAGACCTGGGTGTGTTCCAAGTGCTTCCTTAACCCTCGGCTGGCTGTGTTTGTGTGTGTGTGTGGACGGGGACAGATCAAACAGTTCATTTCGTGACTGTTCAAAGTTACGATGGCACTGGAAAAAATGACTGATGAGAATTTTTCACACTTACGACCGTTGCAGCATCCCCATGGCGACATGATTTACATTCGGATGGTTCATATTTATGACGGTTGCAGCGTCCCGGGGTCAAGTGATCCCCTTTTGCAACCTTCTGAAAAGCCAAGTCAATGGAGAAGCCAGATTCACTTAACAACCGGGTTCCTAACTTAGTTAAGCTCCTCTTCCTAGGAGTCCAGCCTAATTCAGAAGACGGTTGATTCCCTCTTCTTTCCTCTCTGCTTATCCTGGGAATGTGCAGCGCCAAAGTCCGGCTGCAAAGAGGGTGGAGAAAACAGGCAGGGTTAGTCGGAGAGGGAACCAAGAGGGACAGTGGTGAAATCCAATTTTTTTTACTACCGGTTCTGTGGGCGTGGCTTGGTGGGCGTGGTGTGGCTTGGTGGGTGTGGCTTGGTGGGCGTGGCAAGGGAAGGATACTGCAAAATCCCCATTCCCTCCCCACTCTGGGGCCAGCCAGAGGTGGTATTTGTTGGGTCTCCGAACCAGTGGTGGGTTGCCCCCGGTTAGCACCAGTTCTATAGAACCGGTAGTAAAACCGGCGGGATGCTCCGCCCACAGACCCCGACGTCATCAAAACGCTTCTGTGCACGCGCGGCCCTGCTGTGAACTGGTAGTAAAGGTAAGTAGAACCCACCCCTGCTCCGAACTACTCAAAATTTCCTCTACCGGTTCTCCAAACTGCTCAAAATTTCTGCTACTGGTTCTCCAGAACCTGTCAGAACCTGCTGGATTTCACCCCTGAAGAGGGGGAATCACACAGAGGGGTCAATAAGAATACAGCTGGGAGGGACTTTGGGGGTCTTCTAGTCCAACCCCTTGTTCAAGCAGGAGACCCTATCCCAGTGATGGCGAACCTTTTAGACACCGAGTGCTCAAACTGCACGTGCGTGCATTCCCAAATTGAAAGGGCATGCACGAACGCATGCGCGGACATGCAGGAATGCATGAGCAGACATATGCAAATGTGTGCATGCAGACATGCACGGATATGCACAGTTTCCACCTGCGAGGGGGCTGCTTTAGAGCCTGGTTGTTCCCTACTTTGGAGAGAAAAACACAGAGTGAATCTCTGCCTTGCCTGGATGCTCTGAGGAGAAGGCCATCATTCTCCATCATTCAACCTTCATCATCATCACACTCTTCATCATTCAACCTCTCAGCTTCAGGAACCTCTGAGACCAGAGGAGACCAGGCTATGGCACCAGAACGGTCTCTAACCACTGGGGATCATGGCATTTCTGGTCATTTCTCACATTTCCATATTTCCCACTCCTGAGGGGACCCTTTGCTCCAAAGGAGGCCGGGGTCCACCATGCAGGCTCTGGGCCGCCTTCCCTGACCGAATGAAGGACGCTGAAAATCCAAGAGTTTCCAGGAACAAACACAGGTACAAGGAAAGTGATTACAATCAAACTGCAATTCCCCCCCCACCCCAACAAGTTCTGTCTCTGATCCCCACCTCTGAATTGGGGCTCACCTGTAAAGAGGACAAATCACTCACTTTATGCCAGTCTGTAGCCTTTTTGATGTCTCCCTGCAAGGACAAACAAAAAACAAAAAAACAGTGAGAGCTCAAAAGAAGCTATCAGAGATCATCCAATCTCTCCTCCTGTATGCAGAAGAGCCCCAGGAGAGGTTTTCACACTTGTTTAAGCCACAACCTCTCCTGGACGTTCCTATGAACAGTTGCAGGAAGGTCTTCGGACTTCACCACTGGATCTGCCCCAAGAGAAGTTGTTGCCCCTGAGATGGATGGAGGGGAAAGGGGAGGAAACAGCAGCCGGGAGAGGAGGAAGATTTGCACTCGTATCCTTCTCGGCTGCTCTTTGGCCAAAGCCTCTGAAAGGGACAGAAATGGTGATGCCTCTTCCCAACTCTGGAGAAGACAGGACTGTCTCAACTTCAGAGTCAGCCGAATGGAGAGTGGAGTTCTAGCAAGAGGCCGAGATCTCAGATGCTCCCCAAGAGGGCTGGGAAAACAGAAGGAAGCCCAGAAGCCCAGCAGTCTCCCCTGCTCAAAGGGGGAGACTTGGAAGGAATCCCCCCATCTTCTTTCACCCAGAAAAGGATACTTACTGAAAAACCAGATCCCAGCAATCACATACATCAGGACAAGACCAGCCACAATGCAGCCGATGATGAGCCCCAATTTGGATTCTGGAATAGAATTGGAAGAAAGAGCAGATAATTGAAGAAGAACCCCAAACAATCGTCCCAACTTGTGGGGGGGGAGATTTTTTTAAAAAAATAGTTTTTATTGAACATTTTCCAACTTAAAAAAATCACAAGTGAAAAAAAAAAAAACCCAAGGAAAAATAATAAGAAGACGACAAATACAAATAGAAAAAACAAACAACACAACAGTGTAACACAAGTTTACAGCTTTCCGTATCAGCATGTATAGTCTACTTTTGTAATTCACTATTCAATATTTGCCTTCTCATAGATTTTAACAATTCTAGTAATAGTATAATAATTATATTATAATAATATAATACTGATTATAACCGTTCTGGTTATACATATATACATTTATCTTTATCTTATAGTCAATAGTTTTAGAACTTTTATTTCTTGTTTTGGCTTCTATTCTCTAGCCCAGTAATAGCTAACCTTTATTGCATCCAGGGTGGTGGGGAAGAGAGTTTTCGCCCTCCCCAGGCTCCTAGAGAGACTCTGGAGCGTGGGGAAGAGCAAAAAACAGGCCTAACATGCCCACCGTGCCATCGCGTGCCAAAAGCAGGGGGAGCACGGGGGGGGTCACATACACGCGTGCCCACACGCATAATTCTATGCGCCCTACCCTGTCCTCCCGCGCATGCACATTTGACCCTCCCGCACTCCCCCCGCTTTTGGCACGCGGTGACACAGTGGGCACAGTAGGCTTGTTTTTTGCTCTCCCCATGCTCCAGAGCCTCTCCAGGAGCCTGGGGAAGGCGAAAACTCTCTTCCCCACCACTCTGGATGCCCTCCAGAGGCTGGAAATGGCCTGTTTGCCGACTTCTGGTGGAACTGGAAGGCCCATTTTTTGCTCTCCCCAGGCTCCAGAGCCTCTCTAGGAGCCTGGGGAGGGTGAAAACAGCCTTCCCCACCCCCCCAGAGGCCAAAAACGGCTCATTTGCCAACTTCCAGAAGTCCCACCGATATGGCTCGCGTGCCCACTGATATGGCTCCGCGTGCCATCACGGCTCTAGCCACTTGTACAGTCTATTCCAAGTTTTATAATAGTCCGATTCCTCTCTTTCTTTTAACTCCATGGTCATCCTATCCATTTCAGCACACTCAAGTATCTTTCTAATTACCATTTCATCTGAGGGGGTATTTATTTGTTTCCAGTTTTGTGCAAAAGCGATTCTAGCAGCAGTTAGTTATGTGTCATATTATGTATTGATAATTCTTACCCAATTTTGGATCTAGTATGCCTAATAGACATAATTCTGGTTTCAATTCTATCTTACGTTCCGTGATTCCTTCCAGCCATTCCTTAACTTTGAGCCAATATTTCCTGGCATTGGGACATGTCCACCGCATGTGATAAAACGTTCCAGATTTATGTCTACATCTCTAACACTCAGGGGATAGGTTTGAGAACATTTTGGCCAATCTCGCTGGGGGTAGATGCCGTCAGTAGAAGATTTTATACAGATTCTCCTTATAGGCTACCGCCATCGTAGGGAGAGATCTAATTCAACCAACGGACTGGAAATCCATCAACTTATAAAGATAAGGGTTCATTGTCATGTTCCTCTAAAGCAGAACTGTCAAACTCCCGGCCTGTGGGCTGGATGTGTCACGTGCTGGCCACACCCACACCCGGTTTAGCGAAGGGGAGAATATGTCACGTGACGCCTTCATGATATGTGTTTGACACCCCTGCTCTATAGGTAGCATGAAGATGCCCTGCTGACCATTGTTAGAAGATGTGTCCTCATGACGTTACCTTCGTCTCACACCTGCCCAGCATGAAGGCAGCTGACAGTTATCTATTGCTGTTCAGCTCAGAAGCAGCATTTTGAAATCTTGTGACTCTCAGCAGTTTACAGAAACAAAAACTGCAGCAGCAGAACAATATAAACAACTTTCGGAAATCAATAAAAACATTTGTGTTCTTTTTAGAGGCTGCCCCAGTATGTCACGATCATCCTAGTGGATCAGGGGTGGGTTCTAAATTTTTTTTACTACCGGTTCTGTGGGCGTGGCTTATTTTGTGGGCGTGGTCTGATGGTCATGTGACAATTCTTTAGGATTTAGCAGAGGTACTGGTCTATCAGGCTTTTAACTGCTTGCAGAGCTGTACCGGTCTACCCATTTGTTTTTTGAGCGCACTGGTCTACCACCACACTGCCTTTTAACACTGATCAGCTGTAGGGCGGACTTTTGAAGCCCTGCGGCAAGAGTTTAAACAGTTTTTTTCCTTTTAGCCAATCAGCTGGGACTCCGGAGGCAGTGAATAGATTGGGGCGGGGCTAAATAAAAGGTAAGAATAATGCGGGGGTGGGTGGGAGGGCCCAGCTCCCGAACAAAGAGAACCGGTAGCGGTGACATCATATCGTCACCGCTACCGGCTCGGCCGAACCGGGCTGAACCAGGAGGAACCCACCACTGTAGTGGATGATCACTTGAATATGAGCCAGCAGTGTGGAGCAGCAGCCAAAAAAAGCTAGTACAATCCTGGGTTGTATAAGCAGCGGCATAGAATCAAGATCACGTGAAGTATGAGTGCCACTTTATAAAATCCTAGTGGATTTGGACATTCCTTGGACAAGGAACGCTTTGAAGATGAGAAGGGCCCACATTGGGTAACAAACTTTGTCTCTGATTGGCTTCATGAGTGTGTTGAGATATCAGCCACACTCTCCCCAAGTGTGGCTTTTTCCTTGCATGCTTTCTGCCTGTATGCTGTGAAAACTGTCCACCCAGCTGTTTTGTTTTGGCCAAAATAAAAGCTGTTACTTTTTTCAAGACTCTGCTTGAGTCTCTCTCATCGGCACTATTGGGGGACTTTTTGGACATTTTGGACCTTACAACGGGGAAAAACCAATGGATTAAAGCTCAAGCGTGCTCACATCTGGACACATCTGGCGTCAGATTCCTTTCCCTCAATCCTCCATCTGGAAAAAGACGCCAGCTTTTCCCTCCCAGCAGCCTCTCACCCTTCAGGGCCACGTCCAGAGGCTCCTTCAGGCCGTCGTGCTCCACGTGGCACCGATAACGGCCCCTGTCTTTGGGGTCGATCTGGATGCTGAGCCAGTAGTGGAAGGTCCCATCTGCGTTGGGGGCCACAGACCCTTGGAGGGTGTCCTGCAGCCAGACCTCCCCATCTCTCCTCCAGGTGGCATCGATCTCTCTGGGGTAGAAGCCATCCACTCGGCAGACGTGCGTCTCCATCCCATCCTCGGCCTCCGTCCTGCTGCTCACCGTCACCACTGGGGTCTCTGCAGAAACGGCATCACTGGAATTAAATCTGAGCCCTTCCAGAGCCTGGAAGGTGGATGAGAAACTTGAAGGAGCAAGAAAGTCTCCCACTGCTTAGTTTTAAGGCAGGGATTTTCCATTCAAAACCAGCATCTGCAGAAGTTTTAGGAAATGCTCCCAATCTGGAAGATGCTCAACCAGAAAGTACTCTGGATTTTGTGTCCCTCCCAGTGATTCGATCTGAAAAGTGTCTGGCAACAAATTGAGGGTCGAAATAAATCCCACTCAAGCTGCATTGAATTCTGACTGATCTTGGCCTGTTCCCTTCATGGGAACTGCTCTTTTAAGATCCCTTTCAACAGAAAAGCAATACAGAAGATTCCCCCTACCTTCTCCACTCCCCCAAATCTTAGGTTGCTCCAGGACTCTTTCCGAGGGAGACAACCACGATTTCAAGAGGAGGAGAACCAGAATCAAAGCAAGGGGCTCAGGGCTTTGGGAATTTCACACTGGTTAATTTGGAAAAATGGTTCTGCAAGGGAGGCACAGATATGTTAGGTCAGGGGTCAGCAACCTACAGCTCCGGAGCTGTATGTGACTCTTTGGGCCCTCTGCTGTGGCTCCCTGTCAGGTGATCCCAACACTGGCTGGGCCCCGCCCCTCACCCTCCCCTGCCAGTCACTCCCCATCTGGCCTGAGAAGATAAGGGCAACGGAGGGGGATGGAGAAGCGGCCAGGGCAGAGACAGAGAGATACAGAGAGAAGGGGATAGAGAGAGAGAGAGACATAGAAAGATACAGAGAGAGAAGGAGAGAGGGGGAGAGAGGGAGGAGAGAGAGAGAGAGAGAGATGTCAAAAGGATTTTGTGGTTCCTGGTGTTTTTTAACAACTGGTTCTCTGCCCTAATGACCGGCTGGGTAGGCGTGGCTGGGGGGGTCATGTGACCAGTGGAAGTGAGGTAAAGAGCAAATAAAGAATAATGTAGATAAAAGAAATAATGTGAATAAAATAGGAATCATACAGAGTCAGATATATGGGCTCTGGGGGACCCTCTCTATTCACATTATTATAAAGGGAAGAGGTGCTTGGATACATGAACTCTGAGAGACCCTCTCTATTCACATTATTATAAGAGAGGAAAGTGCTTGTTGGAAATTACATTAACAAACAGTTAAACCCCTTTAAGTGGTAATGTATCTTCTGAGACCTAGATGTCACGGAAAGGACTGCCATATGGAAAAACATCTGAGTGACCTGACTGTGAATGACACAAAGACTATATGTTACAAAGAGTTACTTAATCCAATGAATTTACCCAAGGATAGTAGTAACTCTCCCATTAGCAACTCCGAGCACTTAAGAAAAGTTGTGTGGCTAAAATAATTTTGTAAACTAAGATTAATGCTTTAAGTAATTAGATGACCTTATTATACAGTGTATGTAACCATAGAAGGAAAATCGGATGTATGATCTCATGATTAACCATATATGGAAAATGTCTGATCTCACTGAATCCTTTGTCTTAGAAATGTATAAAAATCATTGTATCAGAGTTCTTTCGTTGTTCAAAGCTTCAGGTACAAATCTGGCTCTGAACCTTGCGCAATAAACTGTCTCTGACTGGCCTGGGAATGTTTTTTAGTCCTTCCATTCCACTACAGAAGTGTCATCGAGTTGGCCACGCCCACCCAGGTTTTTTGGCTCCTGGTGTTTTCTTTTCTGTGGGAAACGGGTCCAAATGGCTCTTTGAGTATTTAAGATTGCAGACCCCTGTGTTACGTCAATGGAATAGAGAGACAGTCCTCCCCAGATAGGGAGTGGCTACTGCAGTGGTGGGTTGCCCCTGGTTCGGACTGGTTTGCAAGAACCGGTAGTAAAAGTAAGTAGAACCCACTCCTGGGCTACTGGTATGGGGGGAAGATTCCCCCATAAAGCCTGATCTTACCCAGCCAATCCTGGAGGGATCAACAATCCCAGAGAGGGACATGATACAGCCAGAAGGGAAGATGGTCTTGATAGGAAAATATTAACAAACTTGCAGCAAAAGATTATAATGTAAGCAGGAAGCCTTGTAGGTTGGGTGGGGAGAGGGTTCTTTTGACGGGGGAGTCACTGTAGGTCAGAGTTGGAAAAGCTGTTTGTAACCGCTGCAAACGCGATTGCAGAAAATACGACTTCAGCCACAGAGTGGTCAATGCCTGGAACGCACTACCTGACTCTGTGGTTTCTTCCCCAAACCCCCATAACTTTAACCTTAGACTGTCTCCTGTTGACCTCACCCCATTCCTAAGAGGTCACCAACGTGCCTACCGTCCCTGTCCTACGGTCCCCATTTATTCGTATCCTTATCCTGTATTCATAATCATGTTTATGCTTATATCTGCTATCTTAGACACGCTTGACAAATAAATAAATAAATAAAATACAATAATTTAAGAAAAATATCCAGAATCCTCGGGAATGTTTTTTTTTTCCCCTGGGAAGAAAAAAATCTATCAATCTTGACTTTTTTGCCCAACTGGAACCACTGATAATGTCCTTTAAATTGTAAAGGTGGTGTTCCCTAGAGCAGAGATGTCAAACTCAAGGCTCGCAGGCCAGCCCTGGAAACCGCAAAGGATCGGCCTGCAGTGCCTCTGCCAGGAAAACGGAGCTCGGGAGGGCCACACACGGCCCACCCGGGCTCCATTTTCGGCCCCAACGGCCTCCTGCAACCTTCTGCCAGTGAAAATGGAGCCCGGGTGGGCCATGCGCGGCCTCCTCAAGCTCCATTTTTGCTGGCAGAGGGCTGCAGGAGGCCATTGCAGCAAAAAACGGAGCCTTGATGGGTGGCCCACCCCCGGCCACACACACCCTAACCTCCCCTGAAGTCAAACACAACCTGATGCAACCCTCAATGAAAGGGAGGGAGAAGGGATGAGAGGTGCACCACAGGTGAAAGGGAGGGAAGCCCCCCCCCGCCGTATGATGGGGAGGGAAATTAAGGGTGCCCCTCACACTTGATTCCATTTTGACTAATGCTGGCTCCACTGAAAAGCCCCACGTGGCCCTGTTGCCTCTTCCTGGGCTGTGAACAGGACACTCCTAAGTGCTTTTGTTTTCTGATCCACACAGACGAACACCAGGCCGAGGCTAGCATATCCTGGTCCATTTAATGGTTGCCTGGCAACAGGAACAAAACAGGGCTTCCCGTATCCTGGGAAGATGCTGAAGAGGGAGAATGGATTCCCTGCTGGCCAGCCAGGTTGCAGAGCAGGGAGCCGAAAGGAGGAAAGCCCAGCCTAGATCCAGATGTTCACCTGTTCTCAGCAGGGTCTTGTTCCCGTACGAAAGGTACTTCTCCAGCCAATCAATGCAGTACTCATCCAGGTATGACTTCAGTTTCTGATTGAATCCTGGAATAGCATCCCATTTCCTCTGGGTGATCTGAGCCTGGGAGTCAAGAGCCACCCAGCTGGCTGTCTCCTTGTCGAAGGTGAGGAAGGTCTTCCCATCATATCCATGATGCTCAAACCCTAGTTTGCTCCCGTCTTCTCGTACCTCACAGCCGAACGTCTGCTGTATCATGTGAAAGCCTGAAAGAGGAACAGGAGGGTGGTTTGGGGAGTTCTTAGGAGAGGTCTCTCTCATTGCAGGACTTGGACATTGGAAAGAGGCACTGACTCCATCGCCATTTCCTCCCTAGCATTCAAGTGGTGCGGTGGCCTAGAGGTGGAGCTCTCACCTCACAATCAAGAGGCTGTGAGTTTGATCCTAGGTAGAGGCAGATATTTCTCTCTCTGGGCACACTGAGAATATATATAATGCAAGTTCCTTTCTGGATCGGGACTCCTTGTGCACGGTCACTCATGCCCTGGTCACGTCACGCCTGGACTATTGCAACGCTCTCTACATGGGGCTCCCCTTGAGGAGCACCCGGAGGCTCCAGCTGGTGCAGAATGCAGCCGCGCAGGTGATTATGGGAGCGACATGGCGCTCCCACGTAACACCTCTTCTGCGCGAGCTGCATTGGCTCCCGGTGGTCTTCTGGGTGCGCTTTAAGGTGTTGGTTCTCATCTTTAAAGCGCTCCATGGCTTAGGGCCAGGATATTTGCAAGACCGCCTGCTGCTACCGATAACCTCCCACCGGCCAATACGCTCCCACAGAGAGGCCCTCCTCAGGGTGCCGTCGGTCAGGCAATGTCGGCTGGCGGCCCCCAGGGGGAGAGCCTTCTCTGTGGGGGCACCCGCCCTGTGGAACGAGCTGCCTCCTGGAATACGATTGATCCCGGACCTCCGGACCTTCCGTAAAGCCCTGAAGACGTTTTTATTCCACCAAGCCGGCCTAGCCTAAATGGTTTTTAATTGGGATTTTAAATTTTATGGATTTGGGGGTTTTAAATTGGGAAGCTAATGATTTAATTCTTTTTTAATTATCTTAACTTTTGTATTTGTATGTTTTTTAATTGTGGCTGTTCACCGCCCTGAGTCCCCTCTGGGAGAAGGGCGGTATACAAATTAAATAAATAAATAAATAAATAAATAAATAAATACTCCGCATTGGCGACAGGAAGGGCATCTGGCCATGAAATGCTAGCTCCATTCAGTTGCCCAGGCTCCATCCCACAAGGGACTATGGACTCATTAAAAGATGATGATTCAAGGGAAAAAAGTCTCCTCATCAATCCCCCTTTTGACCTCTCTTATTTATTTATTTATTTATTTGTTCAATTTGTATGCCGCCTTTCTCCGAAGACTCAAAGCGGCTTACAATGCATTTAAAAACCATATATAAAACATTAAAAGTTAAACCATTAAAAACAATTAAAACCCATTCACACCATTCATGGCCGGATCTCGTCAAATCGCAGCAGCGAGATCAACGGCCCCAGGCCTGCCGGAAGAGCCAGGTCTTCACCGCTTTTCGGAAGGCCAATAGGGTGGGGGTGGTCCGAACCTCAGGCGGTAACTGGTTCCAGAGAGCTGGGGCAGCCACAGAGAAGGCCCTCCCCCGCGGCCTGCCAGCCGGCATTGTTTAGCTGACGGGACCCTGAGGAGACCAACTCTGTGGGATCTTACTGGTCGTTGGGAGCTATGCGGTAGAAGGCGGTCTCGAAGATACCCTGGCCCTGAGCCATGTAGGGCTTTAAAGGTAATAACCAACACCTTGAATGTCTTGATGTCAACCTGCGGCTCCCCTGAACCTTGCCGGGAAGAGGACAGGTGGCAAGTCCCCCTTTCGCTTCTCTGAATCAAAAATGGCAGTGGCGGATCTCAAGAAAGGATGGAGGCACAGAAGAAATGGGGGGGAGGGAGCCTCCTCCGTCAAACTTTTGCCTTAGGCAGCAGGTTGGATTAGAAGACCTCTAAGGTCCCTTCCAGCCCTAGGATTCCAGGTCTAGGATTCTTGCTGCCCCCCAAAGATGGCAAAAGGGGAGGCCTTAAGGGACCTCCGCCAAGAGGGCAGTGCAGGAATTCAGCGCATGTTGGCTGAGGAATTCTGGGAGTTGAAGTCCACAAATCGTAAAGTTGCCAAGGTTGGAGACCCCTGCTTTACAGCCCTCTCTAAGCGGTTTAAAGAGTCAGCCTATTGCCCCCAACAATCTGGGTCCTCATTTTACCCACCCAAAGATGGAAGTCAACTTCAAGCAGGTCAGGATCGAACTCCTGGCAATGTGAGCAGAGTTATCCTGCAATACTGCATTCTAACCACTGCCCTCCCATGGCTCCTTGTGCTATATAATGTTTGTTTACTTTAAAACGTTTCAGTAACTGTAATCTGCACAAAGGAATTCAGTTATGGGCAGGGAAAAAATTATTTTGTAAAGCCATAAAATATTTTTAAATCACTTTAAATATTTTTAAAAGCCGAGGTGGCGCAGTGGTTAGAGTGCAGTACTGCAGGCTACTTCAGCTGACTGCTAGCTGCAGTTCGGCAGTTCGAATCTCACCAGGCTCAAGGTTGACTCGGCCTTCCATCCTTCTGAGGTGGGTAAAATGAGGACCCAGATTGTTGGGGGCAATAGGCTGACCTCTCTAAACCACTTAGAGAGGGCTGTAAAGCACTGTGAACAGGTATATAAGTCTAAGTGCGATTGCTATTTAATTTTTTTTTTTAAAAAAACCAGCTTTTCCCCTGGGAGGGACCTCCTTTCTCTCCTTCCTCCTCCTCCTGGGGAGGGGAGGGGAATATGGGGCAGGAGGAGCCACACAACCCATCACTCACCTTCGCTCTGACTGTAGCGATTCCTCAGACTCTCCAGGTTTCTTCTGAACCTCTCCTCATTGAGACGTCCAATATGGCTCTGACTGTCCCAATATTCCTTCTCCAACTTCTCCATCCAGGAGACTCGAGGCTGCTCCTTCCTGCTGTTGCTATCGTAGGAAGAGAAGAGTTGGCCGTCCACGTAACCCACAGTAACATAGTATGACCGTCCCTGACTGGGGTCCAAGATGTAGTTTTGGAAATACTTCAGGGAGTGGGAGCCTGGAAAGGACCCAGAGACCCAGAGTTAGGAGGCTTCAGCTGAGAGACCCCCATCCAAGGGATGTAGTGGCCCCTAATTTGAAGATTTGGGGAGGAAGGAGGAAAAGGAGACATGAGGGGCAAGAAAAGATCAGATAACTTTATTGTTATTATTATTAATTTTTTTTACTGTGAGCATACTGGCCCACATTAAAAATGAAATGCTGTTGCTTCCTCTCAAGGGAAAGTGTACATGTACTCAAATACATACATAATACATGTGTACACATACTAGGTACATATCAGTGGTGGGATTCAAAAATTTTTACTACTGGTTCTGTGGGCGTGGGTGGGTGTGGCGTGGTTTGGTGGGCGTGGCAGGGGAAGGATCCTGCAAAATCTCCATTCCCACTCCACCCCACTCCAGGGGAAAGGAAGGATACTGTAAAATCTCCATTCCCTCCCCACCCCACTAACCTGCTTTCCAGCTATGTGTGCAGGACAACCAAAGAAGACCCAGCTGATCAGCTGGGACTCAATCAGCTGGGACTCAGGAGGCAGAGTATAGATGGGGGCAGGGCCTGTCAGAGGTGGTATTTGCCGGTTCTCCGAACTACTCAAAATTTCCGCTACAGAACCAGTCAGAACTGGCTGAAACCCACCTCTGCTACATACATACATAAAAATATACTGTACCTGCCCCATACATTAATATAATATAATATAATATAATATAATATAATATAATATAATATAATATTATATTATATTATATTATATTATATTATATTATATTATATTATATTAATGTATGGGGCAGGTACAGTATATTTTTATGTATGTATGTAGCAGAGGTGGGTTTCAGCCAGTTCTGACTGGTTCTGTAGCGGAAATTTTGAGTAGTTCGGAGAACCGGCAAATACCACCTCTGACAGGCCCTGCCCCCATCTATACTCTGCCTCCTGAGTCCCAGCTGATTGAGTCCCAGCTGATCAGCTGGGTCTTCTTTGGTTGTCCTGCACACATAGCTGGAAAGCAGGTTAGTGGGGTGGGGAGGGAATGGAGATTTTACAGTATCCTTCCTTTCCCCTGGAGTGGGGTGGAGTGGGAATGGAGATTTTGCAGGATCCTTCCCCTGCCACGCCCACCAAACCACGCCACACCCACCCACGCCCACAGAACCAGTAGTAAAAATTTTTGAATCCCACCACTGATATGTACCTAGTATGTGTACACATGTATTATGTATGTATTTGAGTACATGTACACTTTCCCTTGAGAGGAAGCAACAGCATTTCATTTTTAATGTGGGCCAGTATGCTCACAGTAAAAAAAATTAATAATAATAACAATAAAGTTATCTGATCTTTTCTTGCCCCTCATGTCTCCTTTTCCTCCTTCCTCCCCAAATCTTCAAATTAGGGGCCACTACATCCCTTGGATGGGGGTCTCTCAGCTGAAGCCTCCTAACTCTGGGTCTCTGGGTCCTTTCCAGGCTCCCACTCCCTGAAGTATTTCCAAAACTACATCTTGGACCCCAGTCAGGGACGGTCATACTATGTTACTGTGGGTTACGTGGACGGCCAACTCTTCTCTTCCTACGATAGCAACAGCAGGAAGGAGCAGCCTCGAGTCTCCTGGATGGAGAAGTTGGAGAAGGAATATTGGGACAGTCAGAGCCATATTGGACGTCTCAATGAGGAGAGGTTCAGAAGAAACCTGGAGAGTCTGAGGAATCGCTACAGTCAGAGCGAAGGTGAGTGATGGGTTGTGTGGCTCCTCCTGCCCCATATTCCCCTCCCCTCCCCAGGAGGAGGAGGAAGGAGAGAAAGGAGGTCCCTCCCAGGGGAAAAGCTGGTTTTTTTAAAAAAAAAAAATTAAATAGCAATCGCACTTAGACTTATATACCTGTTCACAGTGCTTTACAGCCCTCTCTAAGTGGTTTAGAGAGGTCAGCCTATTGCCCCCAACAATCTGGGTCCTCATTTTACCCACCTCAGAAGGATGGAAGGCCGAGTCAACCTTGAGCCTGGTGAGATTCGAACTGCCGAACTGCAGCTAGCAGTCAGCTGAAGTAGCCTGCAGTACTGCACTCTAACCACTGCGCCACCTCGGCTTTTAAAAATATTTAAAGTGATTTAAAAATATTTTATGGCTTTACAAAATAATTTTTTCCCTGCCCATAACTGAATTCCTTTGTGCAGATTACAGTTACTGAAACGTTTTAAAGTAAACAAACATTATATAGCACAAGGAGCCATGGGAGGGCAGTGGTTAGAATGCAGTATTGCAGGATAACTCTGCTCACATTGCCAGGAGTTCGATCCTGACCTGCTTGAAGTTGACTTCCATCTTTGGGTGGGTAAAATGAGGACCCAGATTGTTGGGGGCAATAGGCTGACTCTTTAAACCGCTTAGAGAGGGCTGTAAAGCAGGGGTCTCCAACCTTGGCAACTTTACGATTTGTGGACTTCAACTCCCAGAATTCCTCAGCCAACATGCGCTGAATTCCTGCACTGCCCTCTTGGCGGAGGTCCCTTAAGGCCTCCCCTTTTGCCATCTTTGGGGGGCAGCAAGAATCCTAGACCTGGAATCCTAGGGCTGGAAGGGACCTTAGAGGTCTTCTAATCCAACCTGCTGCCTAAGGCAAAAGTTTGACGGAGGAGGCTCCCTCCCCCCATTTCTTCTGTGCCTCCATCCTTTCTTGAGATCCGCCACTGCCATTTTTGATTCAGAGAAGCGAAAGGGGGACTTGCCACCTGTCCTCTTCCCGGCAAGGTTCAGGGGAGCCGCAGGTTGACATCAAGACATTCAAGGTGTTGGTTATTACCTTTAAAGCCCTACATGGCTCAGGGCCAGGGTATCTTCGAGACCGCCTTCTACCGCATAGCTCCCAACGACCAGTAAGATCCCACAGAGTTGGTCTCCTCAGGGTCCCGTCAGCTAAACAATGCCGGCTGGCAGGCCGCGGGGGAGGGCCTTCTCTGTGGCTGCCCCAGCTCTCTGGAACCAGTTACCGCCTGAGGTTCGGACCACCCCCACCCTATTGGCCTTCCGAAAAGCGGTGAAGACCTGGCTCTTCCGGCAGGCCTGGGGCCGTTGATCTCGCTGCTGCGATTTGACGAGATCCGGCCATGAATGGTGTGAATGGGTTTTAATTGTTTTTAATGGTTTAACTTTTAATGTTTTATATATGGTTTTTAAATGCATTGTAAGCCGCTTTGAGTCTTCGGAGAAAGGCGGCATACAAATTGAACAAATAAATAAATAAATAAATAAGAGAGGTCAAAAGGGGGATTGATGAGGAGACTTTTTTCCCTTGAATCATCATCTTTTAATGAGTCCATAGTCCCTTGTGGGATGGAGCCTGGGCAACTGAATGGAGCTAGCATTTCATGGCCAGATGCCCTTCCTGTCGCCAATGCGGAGTATTTATTTATTTATTTATTTATTTATTTATTTAATTTGTATACCGCCCTTCTCCCAGAGGGGACTCAGGGCGGTGAACAGCCACAATTAAAAAACATACAAATACAAAAGTTAAGATAATTAAAAAAGAATTAAATCATTAGCTTCCCAATTTAAAACCCCCAAATCCATAAAATTTAAAATCCCAATTAAAAACCATTTAGGCTAGGCCGGCTTGGTGGAATAAAAACGTCTTCAGGGCTTTACGGAAGGTCCGGAGGTCCGGGATCAATCGTATTCCAGGAGGCAGCTCGTTCCACAGGGCGGGTGCCCCCACAGAGAAGGCTCTCCCCCTGGGGGCCGCCAGCCGACATTGCCTGACCGACGGCACCCTGAGGAGGGCCTCTCTGTGGGAGCGTATTGGCCGGTGGGAGGTTATCGGTAGCAGCAGGCGGTCTTGCAAATATCCTGGCCCTAAGCCATGGAGCGCTTTAAAGATGAGAACCAACACCTTAAAGCGCACCCAGAAGACCACCGGGAGCCAATGCAGCTCGCGCAGAAGAGGTGTTACGTGGGAGCGCCATGTCGCTCCCATAATCACCTGCGCGGCTGCATTCTGCACCAGCTGGAGCCTCCGGGTGCTCCTCAAGGGGAGCCCCATGTAGAGAGCGTTGCAATAGTCCAGGCGTGACGTGACCAGGGCATGAGTGACCGTGCACAAGGAGTCCCGATCCAGAAAGGAACTTGCATTATATATATTCTCAGTGTGCCCAGAGAGAGAAATATCTGCCTCTACCTAGGATCAAACTCACAGCCTCTTGATTGTGAGGTGAGAGCTCCACCTCTAGGCCACCGCACCACTTGAATGCTAGGGAGGAAATGGCGATGGAGTCAGTGCCTCTTTCCAATGTCCAAGTCCTGCAATGAGAGAGACCTCTCCTAAGAACTCCCCAAACCACCCTCCTGTTCCTCTTTCAGGCTTTCACATGATACAGCAGACGTTCGGCTGTGAGGTACGAGAAGACGGGAGCAAACTAGGGTTTGAGCATCATGGATATGATGGGAAGACCTTCCTCACCTTCGACAAGGAGACAGCCAGCTGGGTGGCTCTTGACTCCCAGGCTCAGATCACCCAGAGGAAATGGGATGCTATTCCAGGATTCAATCAGAAACTGAAGTCATACCTGGATGAGTACTGCATTGATTGGCTGGAGAAGTACCTTTCGTACGGGAACAAGACCCTGCTGAGAACAGGTGAACATCTGGATCTAGGCTGGGCTTTCCTCCTTTCGGCTCCCTGCTCTGCAACCTGGCTGGCCAGCAGGGAATCCATTCTCCCTCTTCAGCATCTTCCCAGGATACGGGAAGCCCTGTTTTGTTCCTGTTGCCAGGCAACCATTAAATGGACCAGGATATGCTAGCCTCGGCCTGGTGTTCGTCTGTGTGGATCAGAAAACAAAAGCACTTAGGAGTGTCCTGTTCACAGCCCAGGAAGAGGCAACAGGGCCACGTGGGGCTTTTCAGTGGAGCCAGCATTAGTCAAAATGGAATCAAGTGTGAGGGGCACCCTTAATTTCCCTCCCCATCATACGGCGGGGGGGGGGCTTCCCTCCCTTTCACCTGTGGTGCACCTCTCATCCCTTCTCCCTCCCTTTCATTGAGGGTTGCATCAGGTTGTGTTTGACTTCAGGGGAGGTTAGGGTGTGTGTGGCCGGGGGTGGGCCACCCATCAAGGCTCCGTTTTTTGCTGCAATGGCCTCCTGCAGCCCTCTGCCAGCAAAAATGGAGCTTGAGGAGGCCGCGCATGGCCCACCCGGGCTCCATTTTCACTGGCAGAAGGTTGCAGGAGGCCGTTGGGGCCGAAAATGGAGCCCGGGTGGGCCGTGTGTGGCCCTCCCGAGCTCCGTTTTCCTGGCAGAGGCACTGCAGGCCGATCCTTTGCGGTTTCCAGGGCTGGCCTGCGAGCCTTGAGTTTGACATCTCTGCTCTAGGGAACACCACCTTTACAATTTAAAGGACATTATCAGTGGTTCCAGTTGGGCAAAAAAGTCAAGATTGATAGATTTTTTTCTTCCCAGGGGAAAAAAAAAACATTCCCGAGGATTCTGGATATTTTTCTTAAATTATTGTATTTTATTTATTTATTTATTTGTCAAGCGTGTCTAAGATAGCAGATATAAGCATAAACATGATTATGAATACAGGATAAGGATACGAATAAATGGGGACCGTAGGACAGGGACGGTAGGCACGTTGGTGACCTCTTAGGAATGGGGTGAGGTCAACAGGAGACAGTCTAAGGTTAAAGTTATGGGGGTTTGGGGAAGAAACCACAGAGTCAGGTAGTGCGTTCCAGGCATTGACCACTCTGTGGCTGAAGTCGTATTTTCTGCAATCGCGTTTGCAGCGGTTACAAACAGCTTTTCCAACTCTGACCTACAGTGACTCCCCCGTCAAAAGAACCCTCTCCCCACCCAACCTACAAGGCTTCCTGCTTACATTATAATCTTTTGCTGCAAGTTTGTTAATATTTTCCTATCAAGACCATCTTCCCTTCTGGCTGTATCATGTCCCTCTCTGGGATTGTTGATCCCTCCAGGATTGGCTGGGTAAGATCAGGCTTTATGGGGGAATCTTCCCCCCATACCAGTAGCCCAGGAGTGGGTTCTACTTACTTTTACTACCGGTTCTTGCAAACCAGTCCGAACCAGGGGCAACCCACCACTGCAGTAGCCACTCCCTATCTGGGGAGGACTGTCTCTCTATTCCATTGACGTAACACAGGGGTCTGCAATCTTAAATACTCAAAGAGCCATTTGGACCCGTTTCCCACAGAAAAGAAAACACCAGGAGCCAAAAAACCTGGGTGGGCGTGGCCAACTCGATGACACTTCTGTAGTGGAATGGAAGGACTAAAAAACATTCCCAGGCCAGTCAGAGACAGTTTATTGCGCAAGGTTCAGAGCCAGATTTGTACCTGAAGCTTTGAACAACGAAAGAACTCTGATACAATGATTTTTATACATTTCTAAGACAAAGGATTCAGTGAGATCAGACATTTTCCATATATGGTTAATCATGAGATCATACATCCGATTTTCCTTCTATGGTTACATACACTGTATAATAAGGTCATCTAATTACTTAAAGCATTAATCTTAGTTTACAAAATTATTTTAGCCACACAACTTTTCTTAAGTGCTCGGAGTTGCTAATGGGAGAGTTACTACTATCCTTGGGTAAATTCATTGGATTAAGTAACTCTTTGTAACATATAGTCTTTGTGTCATTCACAGTCAGGTCACTCAGATGTTTTTCCATATGGCAGTCCTTTCCGTGACATCTAGGTCTCAGAAGATACATTACCACTTAAAGGGGTTTAACTGTTTGTTAATGTAATTTCCAACAAGCACTTTCCTCTCTTATAATAATGTGAATAGAGAGGGTCTCTCAGAGTTCATGTATCCAAGCACCTCTTCCCTTTATAATAATGTGAATAGAGAGGGTCCCCCAGAGCCCATATATCTGACTCTGTATGATTCCTATTTTATTCACATTATTTCTTTTATCTACATTATTCTTTATTTGCTCTTTACCTCACTTCCACTGGTCACATGACCCCCCCCAGCCACGCCTACCCAGCCGGTCATTAGGGCAGAGAACCAGTTGTTAAAAAACACCAGGAACCACAAAATCCTTTTGACATCTCTCTCTCTCTCTCTCTCCTCCCTCTCTCCCCCTCTCTCCTTCTCTCTCTGTATCTTTCTATGTCTCTCTCTCTCTCTATCCCCTTCTCTCTGTATCTCTCTGTCTCTGCCCTGGCCGCTTCTCCATCCCCCTCCGTTGCCCTTATCTTCTCAGGCCAGATGGGGAGTGACTGGCAGGGGAGGGTGAGGGGCGGGGCCCAGCCAGTGTTGGGATCACCTGACAGGGAGCCACAGCAGAGGGCCCAAAGAGTCACATACAGCTCCGGAGCTGTAGGTTGCTGACCCCTGACCTAACATATCTGTGCCTCCCTTGCAGAACCATTTTTCCAAATTAACCAGTGTGAAATTCCCAAAGCCCTGAGCCCCTTGCTTTGATTCTGGTTCTCCTCCTCTTGAAATCGTGGTTGTCTCCCTCGGAAAGAGTCCTGGAGCAACCTAAGATTTGGGGGAGTGGAGAAGGTAGGGGGAATCTTCTGTATTGCTTTTCTGTTGAAAGGGATCTTAAAAGAGCAGTTCCCATGAAGGGAACAGGCCAAGATCAGTCAGAATTCAATGCAGCTTGAGTGGGATTTATTTCGACCCTCAATTTGTTGCCAGACACTTTTCAGATCGAATCACTGGGAGGGACACAAAATCCAGAGTACTTTCTGGTTGAGCATCTTCCAGATTGGGAGCATTTCCTAAAACTTCTGCAGATGCTGGTTTTGAATGGAAAATCCCTGCCTTAAAACTAAGCAGTGGGAGACTTTCTTGCTCCTTCAAGTTTCTCATCCACCTTCCAGGCTCTGGAAGGGCTCAGATTTAATTCCAGTGATGCCGTTTCTGCAGAGACCCCAGTGGTGACGGTGAGCAGCAGGACGGAGGCCGAGGATGGGATGGAGACGCACGTCTGCCGAGTGGATGGCTTCTACCCCAGAGAGATCGATGCCACCTGGAGGAGAGATGGGGAGGTCTGGCTGCAGGACACCCTCCAAGGGTCTGTGGCCCCCAACGCAGATGGGACCTTCCACTACTGGCTCAGCATCCAGATCGACCCCAAAGACAGGGGCCGTTATCGGTGCCACGTGGAGCACGACGGCCTGAAGGAGCCTCTGGACGTGGCCCTGAAGGGTGAGAGGCTGCTGGGAGGGAAAAGCTGGCGTCTTTTTCCAGATGGAGGATTGAGGGAAAGGAATCTGACGCCAGATGTGTCCAGATGTGAGCACGCTTGAGCTTTAATCCATTGGTTTTTCCCCGTTGTAAGGTCCAAAATGTCCAAAAAGTCCCCCAATAGTGCCGATGAGAGAGACTCAAGCAGAGTCTTGAAAAAAGTAACAGCTTTTATTTTGGCCAAAACAAAACAGCTGGGTGGACAGTTTTCACAGCATACAGGCAGAAAGCATGCAAGGAAAAAGCCACACTTGGGGAGAGTGTGGCTGATATCTCAACACACTCATGAAGCCAATCAGAGACAAAGTTTGTTACCCAATGTGGGCCCTTCTCATCTTCAAAGCGTTCCTTGTCCAAGGAATGTCCAAATCCACTAGGATTTTATAAAGTGGCACTCATACTTCACGTGATCTTGATTCTATGCCGCTGCTTATACAACCCAGGATTGTACTAGCTTTTTTTGGCTGCTGCTCCACACTGCTGGCTCATATTCAAGTGATCATCCACTACAGTGGTGGGTTCCTCCTGGTTCAGCCCGGTTCGGCCGAGCCGGTAGCGGTGACGATATGATGTCACCGCTACCGGTTCTCTTTGTTCGGGAGCTGGGCCCTCCCACCCACCCCCGCATTATTCTTACCTTTTATTTAGCCCCGCCCCAATCTATTCACTGCCTCCGGAGTCCCAGCTGATTGGCTAAAAGGAAAAAAACTGTTTAAACTCTTGCCGCAGGGCTTCAAAAGTCCGCCCTACAGCTGATCAGTGTTAAAAGGCAGTGTGGTGGTAGACCAGTGCGCTCAAAAAACAAATGGGTAGACCGGTACAGCTCTGCAAGCAGTTAAAAGCCTGATAGACCAGTACCTCTGCTAAATCCTAAAGAATTGTCACATGACCATCAGACCACGCCCACAAAATAAGCCACGCCCACAGAACCGGTAGTAAAAAAAATTTAGAACCCACCCCTGATCCACTAGGATGATCGTGACATACTGGGGCAGCCTCTAAAAAGAACACAAATGTTTTTATTGATTTCCGAAAGTTGTTTATATTGTTCTGCTGCTGCAGTTTTTGTTTCTGTAAACTGCTGAGAGTCACAAGATTTCAAAATGCTGCTTCTGAGCTGAACAGCAATAGATAACTGTCAGCTGCCTTCATGCTGGGCAGGTGTGAGACGAAGGTAACGTCATGAGGACACATCTTCTAACAATGGTCAGCAGGGCATCTTCATGCTACCTATAGAGCAGGGGTGTCAAACACATATCATGAAGGCGTCACGTGACATATTCTCCCCTTCGCTAAACCGGGTGTGGGTGTGGCCAGCACGTGACACATCCAGCCCACAGGCCGGGAGTTTGACAGTTCTGCTTTAGAGGAACATGACAATGAACCCTTATCTTTATAAGTTGATGGATTTCCAGTCCGTTGGTTGAATTAGATCTCTCCCTACGATGGCGGTAGCCTATAAGGAGAATCTGTATAAAATCTTCTACTGACGGCATCTACCCCCAGCGAGATTGGCCAAAATGTTCTCAAACCTATCCCCTGAGTGTTAGAGATGTAGACATAAATCTGGAACGTTTTATCACATGCGGTGGACATGTCCCAATGCCAGGAAATATTGGCTCAAAGTTAAGGAATGGCTGGAAGGAATCACGGAACGTAAGATAGAATTGAAACCAGAATTATGTCTATTAGGCATACTAGATCCAAAATTGGGTAAGAATTATCAATACATAATATGACACATAACTAACTGCTGCTAGAATCGCTTTTGCACAAAACTGGAAACAAATAAATACCCCCTCAGATGAAATGGTAATTAGAAAGATACTTGAGTGTGCTGAAATGGATAGGATGACCATGGAGTTAAAAGAAAGAGAGGAATCGGACTATTATAAAACTTGGAATAGACTGTACAAGTGGCTAGAGCCGTGATGGCACGCGGAGCCATATCAGTGGGCACGCGAGCCATATCGGTGGGACTTCTGGAAGTTGGCAAATGAGCCGTTTTTGGCCTCTGGGGGGGTGGGGAAGGCTGTTTTCACCCTCCCCAGGCTCCTAGAGAGGCTCTGGAGCCTGGGGAGAGCAAAAAATGGGCCTTCCAGTTCCACCAGAAGTCGGCAAACAGGCCATTTCCAGCCTCTGGAGGGCATCCAGAGTGGTGGGGAAGAGAGTTTTCGCCTTCCCCAGGCTCCTGGAGAGGCTCTGGAGCATGGGGAGAGCAAAAAACAAGCCTACTGTGCCCACTGTGTCACCGCGTGCCAAAAGCGGGGGGAGTGCGGGAGGGTCAAATGTGCATGCGCGGGAGGACAGGGTAGGGCGCATAGAATTATGCGTGTGGGCACGCGTGTATGTGACCCCCCCCGTGCTCCCCCTGCTTTTGGCACGCGATGGCACGGTGGGCATGTTAGGCCTGTTTTTTGCTCTTCCCCACGCTCCAGAGTCTCTCTAGGAGCCTGGGGAGGGCGAAAACTCTCTTCCCCACCACCCTGGATGCAATAAAGGTTAGCTATTACTGGGCTAGAGAATAGAAGCCAAAACAAGAAATAAAAGTTCTAAAACTATTGACTATAAGATAAAGATAAATGTATATATGTATAACCAGAACGGTTATAATCAGTATTATATTATTATAATATAATTATTATACTATTACTAGAATTGTTAAAATCTATGAGAAGGCAAATATTGAATAGTGAATTACAAAAGTAGACTATACATGCTGATACGGAAAGCTGTAAACTTGTGTTACACTGTTGTGTTGTTTGTTTTTTCTATTTGTATTTGTCGTCTTCTTATTATTTTTCCTTGGGTTTTTTTTTTTTTCACTTGTGATTTTTTTAAGTTGGAAAATGTTCAATAAAAACTATTTTTTTAAAAAAATTTCCCCCCCCCCAGTTGGGACGATTGTTTGGGGTTCTTCTTCAATTATCTGCTCTTTCTTCCAATTCTATTCCAGAATCCAAATTGGGGCTCATCATCGGCTGCATTGTGGCTGGTCTTGTCCTGATGTGTGCGATTGCTGGGATCTGGTTTTTCAGTAAGTATCCTTTTCTGGGTGAAAGAAGATGGGGGGATTCCTTCCAAGTCTCCCCCTTTGAGCAGGGGAGACTGCTGGGCTTCTGGGCTTCCTTCTGTTTTCCCAGCCCTCTTGGGGAGCATCTGAGATCTCGGCCTCTTGCTAGAACTCCAGTCTCCATTCGGCTGACTCTGAAGTTGAGACAGTCCTGTCTTCTCCAGAGTTGGGAAGAGGCATCACCGTTCTGTCCCTTTCAGAGGCTTTGGCCAAAGAGTAGCAGAGAAGGTGTTGGAAGAAATGTCCATCTGGGTTCTCTTCCAAGTGGGGAGAAAGACACTGGAAACATGGAGGCTAATTGGAAAGATGGTTTAATGGTGGACAGGACCACATGGTTTTGAGGTCTTGGGCAAAAAGGAGCACATAGGTGAGAGAAGGAGAGAGATTTATACCCTCTGTTGGGCTTTGAACTTGCTTCCTGTTCCTGTGGCAAGAAATGTATCCTGATTGGTTGTCAGACTCCCAGGCTTGGTTGAATCTTGCTGGGTGATGTAATCTTCCCAGGTGCCATGTGGTGAGATGGGTAGAGGGCTAATCCAGTGGTGGGTTGCTCCTGGTTCGCATCGGTTCACAAAAATTTTTTAGTAGTTCAGAGAACCAATAATAACATTGGCTGGCCACGCCCCCAAACTGGTCCCCTGCCCGGTCGCTACTCACCCCGCCCACCTCATCAGAGACTTTTTTTTTTTTACTTTTAAAAGCATTTTTTCTTCAACCTCTTTGGCTGAAAAAATGCTTTTAAAAGTTAAAAAAAAGCCTCTGATGATCGCACGGCTCAGCTGGGATTTCAGAGGCTTTTAAAAGCATTTTTTCTACAACCTCTTCGGCTGGGAAAAAAAATGCCTTTAAAAGCCTCTGGCGATCCCAGCTGAGTTGCCTGATCGTCAGAGGCTTCTAAACACATTTTTTTCTGCAACCTCTTAAGGTTGTAGAAAAAATGCTTTTAAAAGTAAAAAAAAAAAAAAAAAAGTTAGCCACGCCCACCGAGTCACATTACCCCCCCACAAGCCATGCCCACAAAATAAGCCACGCCCACAGAATCGGTAGTAAAAAAAATTAGAACCCACCCCTGGGCTAATCCTATTATGTCCTGAGGGTGAGGGTCTTTTGTCTTGTAAATAACCAAAGTATCTGCTGGGGGGCAGGGAGCTGGGGCTGAGTTTCTGCCTTAAGATTTCTGTTTCTCTTTTAGGGGAAATATTCTGGCTTTTTAATATTTCCTAGAATATTTCATTTTTCTAGGAGAAAGGTGGGTGCTAACTTCCTACAAAGGATTTGAGTGCAAATCTTCCTCCTCTCCCAGCTGCTGTTTCCTCCCCTTTCCCCTCCATCCATCTCAAAGGCAGCAGCTCTGTCTTGGAGCAGATCTGATGGTGAAGTCGGAAGATCTTCCTGGGACTGTTCATAGGAACGGCCAGGAAAGGTTGTGGCTTAAACAAGTGTGAAAACCTCTCCTGGGGCTCTTCTGCATACAGGAGGAGAGATTGGATGATCTTTGATGGGTCCCTTCGAGCTTTCACTGGGTTGTTTTTTTTTGTCCTTGCAGAGAGATATCAAAAGGCTACAGAGCCGCCTCAAGTGAGTGATTTTTCCTCTTTACATATGAGCGCCAATTCAGAGCCGGCATCAGACATCCTGTGAACATGGCCGATGGATGAGAAGCCCAGGAAAGCTTGTCTCTATGGTTTGTTATTTTTTCAACTTAACCAACAGGAAGAAACAGGAATTCCTTTTGTTTATGTACCTTTCCTGGATTAGGAGGAGTCCTAGAATCATCCTACAAGATCCTCCATAAAGCAGCAGTTTGCAAGAAGCTTCCGGAGCTGTGGTTTGGAATAGTCGGAGAGCTGGAAGCTTGGTGGGGCTGCAATCACCTTATTGTTGAAAAAGCAGCCATTTTGGAATTTATTTTTCAAACTGCCTTTCATTTTTTTTTAAAATCAATTTATGGGATTATTATCTGCATTAGCTAAAAAAAAGGCTTTCATATAATAACAGAGTTGGAAGGGACCTTGGAGGTCTTCTAGTCCAACCCTCTGCTTAGGCAGGAAACCCTACACCACTTCGGAAAAATGGTTTTCCAACATCTTCTTAAAAACTTCCAGTGTTGGAGCATTTACAACTTCTGGAAGCAAGTTGTTCCACTGATTAATTGTTCTAACTATTTATTTATTTATTTATTTATTTAATTAATTAAACTTATATACCGCCCTTCTCCCCAGGGGGATTCAGGGCGGTGGACAGCCAGAAATTAAAACACATATAGTACAAAAGTTAAGAAAAAACTAAAATAGATTAAATCAGCGGCATTACCAATTTAAAATCCCAAATCTACAAAATCAAAAAATTCCCAATTTAAAACCCAAAAAACCAATAAAATTGGTTTTAGGCCAATTTTCGCAAGGCCCTGAAGACTTATTTATTCCAACAAGCTGATCTAGCTTAAATGGTTTTAATGGGGATTTTTAATCTTTTATTAAAAATCCCCATTAAAACCATTTAAGCTAGGCCGGCTTGTTGGAATAAATAAGTCTTCAGGGCCTTGCGGAAAGTGCGGAGGTCCGGGATCAGTCGTATTTCAGGAGGTAGCTCATTCCACAGGGCGGGTGCCCCCACAAAGAAGGCTCTCCCCCTGGGGGCCGCCAGCCGACATTGCTTGGCCGACGGCACCCTGAGGAGGCTCTCTCTGTGCGAGCGTATTGGCCGGTGGGAGGTTATTGGTAGCAGCAGGCGGTCTCGCAAGTATCCTGGCCCTATGCCATGGAGCGCAACTATCAGGAAATTTCTCCTTAGTTCTAAGTTGCTTCTCTCCTTGATTAGTTTCCACCCATTGCTTCTTGTCCTGCCCTCAGGTGCTTTGGAGAATAGCTTGACTATTAACAAGGTTGAGAATTCTTTGAGAATTCTTGAGAAAAAGAGACTTGATAGACATTCCAAAGAAGATTTTATTTATGAAAATAAGCTGGAGGGAGTGACTTAAAATTTATTGAGTCAGTTAGAGTTTGATGGATTTTTACAAGTGTGCTATATGTAATTGAAAGAAAGTTCTAATGTACCGTAGTTTTTGGTCTATAAGACGCACTTCCCCCCCTCCAAAAAAAAGTGGGTGTAAATGTCTGTGCGTCTTATAGAGTGAATATTGCAGTGGGGGGGGAGGAGGTTGGTGCGGGGCCAATCAGCTGTTCTAGGCAGCGGAGATTGCCGCCACTGCTGCCTATCACCACCTATCGCTGCCGCGGCTTGTTCACCACAGTCTGTTCGCCGCCGATCACAGCCGCAGTGAAGGGGCCGCGGTGAAGGGGCTGCGGCGATTGGCATGGCAAATGAGCTGTGGCGATGGTAAACGGGCCGTGGCGAACAGGTGGCAATCCCCGCTGCCTTGAACAGCTGATTGGCGGTATTCCGGGAGTCAAATCCAGTTGCCAATCAATTGGCAGCAAAGGCTCCAGTGTTCCATGGCAACAACAGCTCAGCTCAGTTCACTGGTGGTGGGCACAACGGAACGGAGCCCTGACGAGCCACATGCTGGGGCTGCGATAATGTGCTGAAGCTGACAAGGCTGTTTGCTGCAAAGATGCTAGCCAGATGAATACCGGATGGACGCTGATAGGTAGAGGCGGATTTTTTTTTTCTTGTTTTCCTCCTCTAAAACGAATGCGTCTTACAGTCTGTAGCGTCTCATAGTCCGAAAAATACGGTACTTTTGTGTTTATGCAGTGGGTTTCAGGGTTTTTTTTTTCATATACAATACTTGAGTAATTCTTAAAGTTTATAAAATATTATTGAAAGTGAACTTGAAAGTATGAATGTTAGGAGGAAGTAAAAAAAGATGTGCTAGAGTTTACTGATTTTAGAAACATTTTTAATGAAAATTCTAGTGTCGTAAAATGGATGTTAAAAAAAGGTTTTTCCGCTTTAGGGTTAAAGTATCTCAGAGAGTGTAGTGAATTTTGTTAATATAAATGATGACAGTCTATAAAGATTAATAAACAGAACTATATATTATTTCCCACAGCAAGAAAAGAAAAGTAGAGATGGTTAAACTGTTTGCTGTTATTTATTCTAAGGGGGGAAAAAACATACCGGGTCCAGTGTCTAATCTTAATATTTATTTATTTATTTATTTTGTCGCATTTCTATGCCGCCCCACTCCCAAGGGACTCTGGACAGCTTACAACAGAGAATAAAACAATGCAACAATATCCTATACAAAAGTTGAAAAAAGACATTAAAACATCTTGTTTCCATTTGGAAATCACTTCTGGATTTAGTGCTTGTGATTGAAAAAAAAGAAAAGAAATTAAATGTAGTTAAAAATACAGTTAATGTCTTTATTTTACTACCAAATCAATATGGTTTTGTATGTTTTAATTAATCGTTTGAACACTGAACTACAGTGCTAATATCTTAAATGGTCAACTAGATAGTGCCACACGATGAAACACTTCTGAGTTAGGATGATGAAACGTAGCCTGGCTGGAGTGAATAATTCAAAAAATAGTCTTCAATTTTTCTCATTCCCAAGATCTCGCCTTTCTTGTCCCAAACCTTGCAAAATTTCACCCTTTGTGGATGAGACGAAGCAAAAAATTATTTTTTTTTATTCAATGTGAATTGTGTCTGTCCTATCCTGAATGAGATCAACCTTTACTTCCTATGATTTAGAGCTGTGTTTTTCAACCTTAGCAGGTTTAATCATCCTGCCTCGGGAATTTGAAAGTTGAAGTTCATATACCTTAAAGGTGCTAAGGTTGAGAAACGGATTTAAAAACTATTCTGTTGAGGCCACCTCTAAAATTGCACTTGTATTATTTGCTATAAGATCATGCTGTGGTAATAAACGACCTATTCACAAACCCCCATCCCACACATATTACTATCCTACTAAACATTTTGTCGGAACTCCCTCCTTCAGAGGAAACAAAAACAAAAATAAACCTGACTATAGAAAGCTCGGTTTTAGTTAAAATATACTCATTTTAGGTAAGATGATAGCAGGTCAAAAGCCAAAACTTGGCACCATACATGGAAGCCAAAATTTACTTTATGGAACGCATAACTTGCCTTCCAACAGGTTGCTCTACTACTGGCTTTTGAAAAATCGATCCAGAATTTAAAATGAGAAATGAACATCAGGCTCTGCCAGATTCAGCTACCAAGTTCCTAATTTTTCATTTGGTCCATTTTTTTAAACTCCTTGAAAAAGAAGGCTCTCTAACTCGGCAACTCTTGCCCTTTGGTAACTCTAGAAGAAACGGTATTCCTCTAGAGCAGCGTTTCTTAACCTTGACAACCTGTGGACTTTAAAACACGTGGACTTCCACTTTCAGAATTCCCTAGCCGTGCCTGGGAAGCACTGCTCCGGCGGAAACAGGGTATGAGAGCGATGTATTTTACCACTGTCGGATTCAGGATAAAGGTAGCAAAGTCATATTTTCTCAAACTTGGCAACTTTTAAAGACATGGACTTCCGTTCCTAGAATTCCCCAGCTAGCTTGGCTGACTGGGGAATTCTGGGAGTGATGTCCACCCCTCTTAAAGTTACCAAGAAGAGAAACAATGGCCTATATCAGGGGTGGGTTCTAAAAATTTTTACTACCGGTTCTGTGGGGGTGGCTTATTTTGTGGGCATGGCTTGATGATCATGTGACAATTCTTTAGGATTTAGCAGAGGTACTGGTCTACCAGGCTTTTAACTGCTTGCAGAGCTGTACTGGTCTACTCATGTATTTTTGCAGGCACTGGTCTACCCATTTAACTGTTTTGCAAAGAAACTCAGTAATTAGGAAATGTCAATTAAAAATGACAAATGTATATGACCATATGAATTGCTGAGTTAACAGAATCCTTTGTCTAGAAGGGTATAAAACCATTGTACCTAATTTCTGTCTTTGTTCAACACTTCATGTACAGAGCCTTGAACCTATTGCACAATATATAAATTGTCTCTGATTAATCCAAAAGTTGTGTTTGTCTTATTAAATCCACAACAGTAATAATAATAATAGTAATAATAATAATAGTAGTAGTAGTAGTAGTAGTAATAATAATAAACACAACACGCCAGAGATCATAGTTGTCAAAAACCGAAACATACAATTTATTGACACCAGGAGATGCCAGAGTCGAAGAAAAAGAACTGGAAAATATCATGAAATATCGCGAACTTCTTGGGCAGATCCAATTTGAACTGAGCTGTTTTGCCAACTCTTTCTCATGGTGGCTGCTTAGCTCCAACAACTGCTTCCTGTTTTGTTTTGTTTTTTAATTAGATTTATATGCCGCCCTTCTCTGGAGACTCAGGGCGGCTTACAGTGCGTTAAGCAATAGCCTTCATACTTTTGTATATTTTTATACAAAGTTAGCTTATTGCCCCCACAAACTGGGTCCTCATTTTACCTACCTTAGAAAGGATGGAAGGCTGAGTCAACCTTGAGCCTGGGGAGATTTGAACTTGCAATAATTGCAGACAGCTGAATTTTAATAACAGGCTTTTAGTCTGTTGAGCTTGTGTTGGGGCCCTAAGGAATCCGGATGGGCAGGCGAGGAGTGGCTGGGGAGGGTGGGGACGAGTAGAGGCCATCGAAGGCGCTCCTCGATGTGAGTGACATTGAGTTGGCCACACCCACCCAGCCACATGGCCACCTAGCCACGCCCACCCAGCCAGTCATTAGGCAGATCATATTAGTGGTCCGCGGGATTTAAAAGTATGAATTTAATGGTCCCTGAGGTCCGAAGGGTTGGTGACCCCTGCCTCACAAGTTCTGGGTCCCGCAGCTGAAGCCTCCTAATTCTGCCCCTTTGGGTCTCTTTCAGGCTCCTCCTTGCACTCCCTCAAGTATTTCTACATCTCCGTCTCAGACCTCAGTCAAGGGCTGCCCCACTTTGGCGTTCTGGGCTACGTGGACAGTCAGGTGTTT